TCCATGCTGGAGCAGGGAACTGGATTGACTATGATGGAGCAAAGTAGATTTTCACATGATGGAAATTTTCTGAGTATTTGTATAAAATTGTGGTGGTTATTCAGTTGTACAAATTTAACAGAAACTCAGCAAGATATACATTTAAAATGGGTTAATTTTATCATGCATCAATGAAGACTTAAAAATAGGTGTTTAGAATGTATTATATATATATATTTTTTTGACATGTGTATATCATAATTTCCTTATCCATTCATACACTGATGGACATAATACTGATACTGTATCTTGTCTTCTGTGAAAAACACCACAGCGAATGTGTGATGGGGTGCAGCTGTCACTCCAAGGTATTGATTCCACCTCCTTTGGGTGTAGACCAACAGTGGGTTGTACAGTAGCTCAGTTTTTAAATTTTCAAGGAAACTCAAACTATTTTTTTCTTTTTTTCTTTTATTGGTACATTTTAGATATACAGTACAATTACATTCATTATTGGGATCTTGTACCTTTACATGACAGGTCTTGGTTCTCATTTTTTCCCCTTTTCCGTGCCTCCCTTCACCCCCTCCCCAAACTATTTTTTATACTGTAGAAAATTCCACATGTACTAATATAGAACATATTCTATGTGTACCAATTTACATCCCTACCAACAATGTATAAGAATTCCCTTTTATGCTCATGAAAATTTATCTGAGTTTTCCATAATAATTATATTTTCACAGTGTGAGGTATTTTCATCTTAGCTTTGATTTCTCTGATAATTAAAATGATGTTAAGTGTCTTTTCATAGACACTTAGGTGTTTTGGCCTTTTTAAATTAGATTATTGTTAATTATTATTTTGATATTGAGTTATATGAGTTCCTTATATATTATAACCTCATATCTGGTATACAGCTTGCATATATTTTTCTCCAGATCCATAACCGGTTTCTTCCTTTTGTTGGGTTTTGTCTTTCCTTGCTGTGCAGAAACATTTTAGTTTTATGTAGTCTCACTTGTTTACTTTGGGCTTTGGTTGCCTGTGCTTTCTCGTGCCAAAAAATCATTCTCTAGACCAACATTAAGTAGCTTTTACCCTACATTTTCTTTTAGGAATTTTATTATTTCAAGCTTATCTTTAGATCTTTAACCCATTTTGAGTTGATTTTTGTGTATATTGTAATGCTTTTCTCAATACAATATAACTTGGTTGTCATTCTCTGACAATGCATAGATATTTTCCTTATTTTTATAGCAGTATTATACCCCACTCTAAATATACACCACAGTTTATTTAACCAACTTCTCGACTTTTTTTTTTTTTGGTACCGGGGATAGAACTCAGGTCCTTGTGCTTGTGAGGCAGGCGCCAGAACCACTGAGCTAAATCCCCAGCATTTAACCAACTTCTAACATTTATGTTGTTTTCCAAATTTTGCTATTATAAATAATATTGAAATGACTAAGTCTGTCAGTTTATTCTGTTGGAACTGTACGTTATAGGTAATTTCCTACAGGTTGAATTACTAGATCAAAAAAAACAAATGTATGTACACTTCTGTTAGAAATTACGGGAATTTTCTCTATATGGAAGTGTATTATTTGATCTTGCCATCAGGAATATAAGAGAATGCCAGTTACTCCAGAAGTTTTCAGTTCAGAAGATATCAGCATTTTGAATTTTGTCAATTTGATAGTCAGGAAAAATATTCTAATATAATTTTAATTTGCATTCTTCTTCCACTGAGTAAGATCAGTTATCTTTTTGTGTGTTTTATTGTTTGTGAATTATGAAGTACTTGTTCATGTTATGCTCATTTTTCTTACTGGGTTTTTAGTGTACTTGCCAATTTATGACTTCTTTACATATTAAATCATAAGACCTACATGTGACATATGACACTTACCTTTTGAATGTACTTAGGGTTTTTTTTGGGGGGGGTACTGGAGATTGAACTCAGGACCTTGAGCTTGTGAGGCAGGCGGTGCCACTACTGAGCTAAATCACTGGCCCTATGCCTAGTATTTTTACTAAAAATGCCTTTGTATATACAGTTGATTTCATCAGTCATTGTTATCATATCTGACTTTGGGTCAGACTATTAAAAATTTACCCTTGTTTTCTCCTAATGTTTGGTTTTATTTTTAAATTAATAACTCCAACTCATTTGGAGTTTTTTTTCCTTGTGCATTTTATAAGGTATGGGTCCAGTTTATCTTTTCTCATATTGCTAGCCAGTTGTTCAACAACTTTTTGAAAATATCCATCTTTTCCCCAGTAATTTAAGAGGCATCTTTATTATATACTGATGTACATATATACCACATTATTTTTAATTTTTAAATAAACGTATTTTGTCTGATTTGAGAATTAACTTTTTTATGCAATTTGCCTTTCTTTGAAGATCAGAATTTTTATGTCTCACCTTCTCTTCCTCCAAGATTTTGAAGAAATCATGTTATTTTGGTACCAGCTTGTTTTTAGTAGTTTTTGTTTGTTTTGTTTTAATATTATAGCTCTATTAATTTGTAATTCTTTCTTACCAACTGCATGAAGTATAGGATTTGATCAGCATTTTTTAGCATTAGTTGCTAGTTTCACTAGTATGCTTGCCCACAGTACCTTTTTATAGCAAATTTATTCCTCTGTTACATTTGGTTTTGTTTTTTCTGGACCTTCAGTGTAACTCTAAATAACTTTTATGGAAAAATTTTATGTGCAGTAAATTCCAGTATCCTCGTGTGCTGAGAAAAGTCTTATGCAACTAAAATATTTTGTAGGCAATTTTTCTTTACTTTCTACGGGCTTTATAAGATTTTTTTTTTTCCTTGTACTTGGAGCTCATAAATTTATACTGCGCTCAGTTTCATTTTCACTGCTTTCCGGTCAGACAGTGACTTCATTCTGAAATTCAGATCTGTTTTGAGCCCAAGGAAATGTTTATCTAACTTCTTCTGTTTGTTCTTTCTTTTTGGAACTCCTAGGTGCTGGATGTTAGATCTTTCGATCTGTTCTTCCTCTTAAAATGTTCATCATTTTTACCTTTAGAATTAGTTCCTGAAGTATCACCTTACTAAATTTTCCAGTTTGCTTATTCTCTGTCTTTTTAAAAATCTTATTGAGTTTATCGGTACTTTTCAAGTATATAATACAGTTACACTCATCATTGGGATCTTGTACCTTTACATGACAGGTCTTGGTTCTCATTTTTTCCCCTTGTCCCTACCCTTCATTCTCTCCACCCTCCCCTATTTACAATAACTTTGCTTCCATTTTTTCCTTTTCTTGTATTTTTTCTTGTCCCTTATTTCCTTTCCCCTACCCTTCCCACTTCCCCTACACCTTTAGCCCCTTTCTTCCTATTTCACATTATCAGTTATACAATTTGGATCTTATTTACACTTTCAGTTAAAATGTCGATTAAATAGAAATTCTACATCAATCAGTATTACTTTTATGATATCTTTTCTCAGGACAAATGATAATCCTGGTCTCTTTCTTTCCTTGGTCCTCTTTCACACATGTGTAGTCCCAGATCCTTCTGGTCTCATGAGTTTCTGTTTCATCTGACTCCATTGATTTATGTTTTTCATAAATACTGCATGCACTATCCTAATTTACTGATTGTACCCTTTTCAAAATATGTTACTATTATAGATTTATTTCTATCTTAATAGCATTGGTTTCATTTCAGAATATGGTGAGGAAGAAAAAAATAAACAAAATGGACATTTTTTGCATTTATGAAATTATTATTTTTCTCCTCCTAACTCAAATACAGAATTTATGACTGTTGGAACAGATGAACAAATGTCTCTGAGGGTGCTCTTTGGTTCAGCCCTAGGCAGTATCTCGTATCATTACCTATATGAAGTTCTAGGGACTTGGGACACTTTGCAGTTTTAGTAACTCATTTATCCACAGCAGGCTCACATAGACATCCTGATCTGATATATTAACTTAGAACACAGTAGTCCATCTTTTTAGTGATTTCATTAAAAAAATAATAGTGGCATGAAATTTATGATGTTAACTCTCTATAACAATTGACTATTTCTATTTAATTTTGTATACATATTTGAAATTTTCTAAAACTTCATTTTTTAGAATTATCAAGCTAAAGAAAGATTGCCCAAGGTATTAAGAAAAATAAATGTCACCAGTACAGAATATTCTGGTGGGCCTGACTAATGGCTTATCACCATCCTTGGGCAGTTGGTTGTGCGAAGCAAGATTATACTCATAAGGTTGTTTGGTAAACTCAGAATCAGAGCAAGAAGAGCTCGTTGATGATTGTAATGGTTAGTGCTTCACAGAGAGGGAGAGTTATCTCTGAATTATAGGTTGATGCCTTTATCTTCAGGAAAAAGTCCATGTGAGAACCAGTTTTTCAATCGGTTAAAGCTCTGATAACCCCAGAGAGTATAACACAAATCCTATGATTATGTTCTCTATTGTTTGTTTGTTTGTGTTTGTGTGTTTTTGGAGTTTCCTTATGTCTGCCTTCTGATCAAACATTTGCCACACTTTTCCTAACACAAATGGTGGAACAACTCTAGAATCTTAAACCTGAAGAGATCATTCTGCTCCCAATACCTCATCCCACTATGTATCCAGGTCTCTGTTTGCCTTTGGGGGCTTGTTGGAGATCTTCTAGGCATGGATTCCCCATAGAAAGTAAGCACATGGTTTACTTGCTAGGGCAAAGAAAGTAAACACATTGTTGAACAAAAACAAAGCAAACAACAAAAGCCATAGCATGCATCACTGTTGCTGGGCAGGCAGTGAATGAGTAGAAATCCAGCTGCAGACTGCCGAGCCCCACTGGTGGTTGTACTAGAGTTGATACTATTCACCTCCCTCACTCCAATAAAACTCCATGCTCAGTGAAATCAGACCTGCTCCCTCTGCTCTCCTCACACATCTGACAGTCTGTGGTACTTGCTGCATACTTGGCATTGTTCTAAGATCTGTAGTAGAGCTGTACCTCTAATCAGCATGCACATGTCTTGCAGTTGTGAAGATGACCTGTCTGAGGACAGAGACGAGCTCCTGCATGGGATTTCAGAGCTGGACATCAGCAACTCGGATTGCTTCCCATCCCAGCTGCTAGTTCATGGGGCTTTAGCCTTTCCTCTGGGCTTAGATTCCTACCATGGCTGTGTTATAGCGGCTGCCCGCTACGGCCGAGGCCGAGTGGTTGTGACTGGCCATAAAGTATTATTCACCGTGGGGAAACTGGGCCCCTTTCTGCTCAATGCTGTTCGCTGGCTGGATGGGGGCCGAAGAGGCAAGATCGTGGTGCAGACTGAGTTGAGAACTCTGAGCGGCCTGCTTGCCGTGGGGGGCATAGACACCAGCATCGAGCCCCATCTGACCAGCGATGCGAGTGTCTATTGCTTTGAACCTGTGAGTGATGTGGCGGTCAAAGAGCTGCAGGAGTTTGTAGCAGAGGGAGGTGGGTTATTCGTTGGAGCCCAAGCTTGGTGGTGGGCATTCAAGAACCCTGGAGTGTCCCCTCTGGCTCGATTCCCAGGAAACCTCCTTCTCAACCCCTTTGGCATCAGCATCACAAGCCAAAGCCTCAATCCTGGGCCCTTCCGTACCCCTAAAGCTGGGATAAGGACCTACCACTTCCGCTCCACCCTGGCCGAGTTCCAGGTTATCATGGGCCGCAAGAGAGGTAACGTGGAGAAGGGCTGGCTGGCAAAGCTGGGACCTGATGGTGCAGCATTCCTGCAGATCCCCGCGGAGGAGATCCCGGCCTACATGTCGGTGCATCGGCTTCTACGGAAGCTGCTGAGCCGCTATCGCCTCCCAGTCGCCACCCGAGAGAACCCTGTTATCAATGATTGCTGCAGGGGCGCTATGCTTTCCTTGGCCACGGGCCTGGCCCACTCTGGAAGTGACCTGTCTCTGTTAGTCCCAGAAATCGAAGACATGTACAGCAGCCCCTACCTGCGCCCCTCGGAGTCTCCCATCACCGTTGAGGTCAACTGCACCAATCCAGGTAGGGCCAAAAGGCTGGGAGCTCAGGGTTATGAGGATGAGTGGATTGGCGGCTTGTGACTGCAGCAGCTCATATGGGGGAGCTGACCACTCGCGGGGGTGGCTCCATCCTTTGCAACACACTTTTGAGAAAATAAAGACTGGGCTTTTGGGTGCTGCTGGGAGGAATTTGGTCAAGACATCACGGGCATGAAGGGAAAGAGTTGCTCCAAGCTCAGGGAGAGTCTGTGGAGTGCTGTCGGGGCAGAGTCACGGAGCAGGGATGAAGTCTGCCCTTCTGTGCTCTCTGCAGGCACCCGATACTGCTGGATGAGCACGGGCCTCTACATACCAGGAAGGCAAATCATAGAAGTCTCATTGCCAGAAGCCACTGCCTCTGCTGATCTGAAGGTGAGGCCATGCCCTATCTGTCTCACCAAGTGAGGGGGCACCGGAGTTGCCTTCCTGGCTGATAGCTCATTCGGTCCTCATAAATCCTACTGGCAGTACAGAGTAGGTATTGTTACCTTCATTTTGAGGATGATGCAACTAGGTTGCAGAAAAAGCTAAATATGAACCTGATACATTTCAGAGCACAGAACCCCAAAATAATCAACTTCTGGCTCTTCAGGGTTCTGTTTTTGTCATGTCCATTGAGTGAGGAGTAGAAGGGACTCCACCCCTCAGCTTGTGTTCAACAAACCTTAGTTCATTATCCACTCCCACGTGTGTCTCCCACTATAACACAAGGTCTGTCACATTCCGGCTTCTTTCCCATGACACCAAAAAGAAAGAAAAAAAAAAGACTAAAAAGACTTTTTTCATATCTCAAGTCTACCCTCACTTTGTCCCTTCCACAAATACACATTCTATTCCTAAAATTAAATTGTCATCCTGCTGTTTCATACCAGTGGGTCGTTGTGGTGGTGAGGGTCCTCCCTGTGACTGTATCTATCCTAGCTCTTTTAGAAGAGACACAGGTAAGCAATCCCAAGACTATCAAATGCAAACATCATGGCACTCCTCAGGAACAAGCAAGGAATCAGAGTCCTCTGTTAACACTAGCCAGAACACACTGCCGCATACCAGCCCGCTCTCTAATCTGCAAAGGTCAGGGTACCCTCTGCCCCTCCCCAGTGCTAGACTTGCCACTCTGCAGTAGCTAACCTCAAATTCTTTTTGTTGCAAAGACATCACTGGGTCATCTGTGGGGTCTGCACTGCCCAGAGTGGACGTTACTGGCTGCACCTGCTGCTTCTCATATTAATGTCTCCACATGATCCCTTGTGGAGCTGTGTGAATCCCTTTTGAGAATATCCAGCCACAGCACTGTCCGCATGTCCATGAGGGATATTACAATTTCATGAGTCTATTGCACACTTTCAACTTCACACACTATCTCAGTGGTGTTTGTGGTTGTGGCCTAACCACTTTTCCTGAGTCCCCACCTCCTGGGCTCTCTTTTTCTGCCCACACATGCCCCACGGTGACTCTGGTGGGGGATCTCTCTACTCCAGATACAGATTGGTTGCCACACGGATGATCTGACCAGGGCCAGCAAGCTGTTCCGCGGGCCCCTCGTGATTAACCGGTGCTGCTTGGACAAACCCACGAAATCAATCACCTGCCTCTGGGGTGGACTTCTCTACATCATCGTGCCTCAGAACAGCAAGCTGGGTTCTGTACCCATCACTGTGAAGGGGGCTGTGCGTGCGCCCTACTACAAGCTGGGTAAGCAGAACCTGTAGGATGCAACCCAAGGGAAAGGGAAGGGCCTTGGACAGGGGTGTGATTGTGGGATGTTTGGGGAAAGACAAGAAAGGCACAGATTAGTGGGGGAGGCGCGGAGGGAGAGAAAAAGGGAGGAAGGCTTCCTGAGATTCTGCTTTGGGCAAAAGATCTAAAGCCCAAGCCATACTGATGGGGACTTCATGGGAGGGTAGAGAGAGGGATATGGCTGTTCATGATCTGGGCTTTCTCCATCTGGGTTCTAAGTCATATCTATTAACTTGAGGGATTGGAAATGTGTGTTTCAAGCTCTCTGGCCTCTTTTCCCAGGGGAAACATCCCAGGAGGAGTGGAAGAGACAAATCCAGGAGAACCCAGGTCCCTGGGGAGAGCTGGCCACCGACAACATCATCCTCACAGTGCCAACAGCCAATCTGCGTACTCTGGAGAACCCCGAGCCACTGCTCCACCTCTGGGACGAAGTGATGCAGGCTGTGGCACGGCTGGGTGCTGAGCCATTTCCTTTGCGTCTGCCCCAGAGGATTGTGGCTGATGTACAGATCTCAGTGGGTGGGTGCTTCAAGAGAACCCTGTGTGTGCTACCCATGAGTCCCTTTCTTACCATAGCCAGGGGACTGTCAAAGTGTATGGTACATGTACTCCTATTTAAGTGGAAAGGAAAAGATACACATAAGAAAGAGATAACAATTTAAGTCAGCATGTCAAGAGATGCCATCAAAAATAGTAAGACATGTCACTGAGTCTTTAGAGATGTCCTTCAAGAGACTTCAAGGGGTGGGTAAAGACAGTGATTTAGCTCAGATCCAGTGAGAGACATTGGATAAAGTGATCTCTCCCTGTGGATCAAAGAGCCTAAAAATGAGGTGGCTATACAGACATTAAAGAATGATGGAAATTTCTCTAGATCCTCATTTTTTGGCTTGCACAGGTAACCCTTGTAAAGTAGTGCCACTGTGGCCAAATCCAATCCAATAATGAAAGAAGAAACCACAATCAAAGAGTCCCGAATTTTGAGAAAAGGATATAATAGCAGAGAATCCCGTAGATAAAGCACTATCATAAACAGAAAACAGTGGCAGGAATGGCCATGGGCAGCCTATAGTCTCTCCCTCAGGAACCCTGTTTCAGGACAGAGTGCAGATGAGATCATGGGAACAAAGGCCAGGAGGTCTGAGTTTGGGTTGACTTTCTGGGCAGAAGGGGTGATGGAAGCTGTCTGAGGTTACAGGATATTTTGGAAGAGAAAGTTCAGGGAAGAATTGGTCAGGAAGACCTGACTCTTTGCTCTTCCCTCCTGTATCTCCCAGGCTGGATGCATGCTGGGTACCCCATCATGTGCCATCTGGAGTCTGTTCAGGAGCTCATCAACGAGAAGCTCATAAGAACCAAGGGGCTGTGGGGCCCCGTGCACGAGCTGGGCCGCAACCAGCAGCGGCAGGAGTGGGAATTCCCACCACACACCACTGAGGCCACCTGCAACCTGTGGTGTGTGTATGTGCATGAGACAGTCTTGGGCATTCCTCGAGGCCGTGCCAATATTGCCCTCTGGCCTCCAGTTCGGGAGAAGAGAGTCCGAATCTACCTGAGCAAGGGGCCTAATGTGAAGAACTGGAATGCGTGGACTGCACTAGAAACATATTTGCAGGTACTGCACATGAGCTGAGGAGGATGGAAGGTCCTACGGGGGCCACGTTGTTGGATGATATTCTAGTGACCCAGGAGACCTCTCAGTGTATTTGCCTTTTCACATTCAGAAAACCCTGACACAGTCCCAGTGTGACAGTCCTGTTGATGATATCTTTCAGTGCATTACTTGGCTTGACCCTAAAGTGGACTGAACAGACTCCACAGCAACCCCATAGAGACATATCAGTAGACAGAGAGCACTGAGAAATCTTGATATTGGCAGAAGCAAATATAGCACTGTACTTAACTTTTTCTGGCTTTAAAACAAGATATATCTGAGACTAAAACCAAACCCTCCTGCTTCATTGCAGTCAAAAACCAAGCAACCTTTACACACACACACACACACACTACACAAGGATTACAATCTGGTTTTTTCCTAAAATGAATGTACCATCTCATTGTGACTTGGCTGTGCCTCAGATTCTGCCTTACAGAAGCAACCCAAGAATCCTACCTGCTCTGGGCCTAGAAGTTTTCTTTGCCTTTGAACTATCATTGGAGGCCCATGTTCTCAGCCCCCAAGTTCCAAGATCATTTCCTGGCTCACTGTGGGGAATGGCATTGCCTTGGATTCAGGCCAAGCATGCTGTATTTGAGTTCATCCGTGAGAATGGTGTGAATAGCCAGAGAGGCTCTGTTTCCACCTTGCTGTCTGGACACTTTGCCCCAGGAATAAATATTCTTCAATCATGAAGTAAAGTTACGTAGGTCTTGGTGGATTTCCCAGGTTCCTTTTAACTCGAAAGCTCTGTAACCTTGGCTAGCCAGGGCTCTTCCCATTCCTCCCAGGATGGCTGTCTTTTTCTAAACTTAGAATTCTCTACTAATTCTGGTTAGATTCTCTATAGTCTTCTTTCACATCTACCTGACTCATTTCTCCCCAAAGGCCATTTTAGTAGCTGTGTGAATGGACACAGACCTATGGTTAATGAGAACTTCAGGGTGGGGGAGGGAGTTTCCAAATTGTTGGGGTTTCACTTTGCAACCCTGAAAGATAATGAGGAGCAGTCCACGTTAGACAATTTTAAATCTTTGTGTAATATCGAACATTACTTCTATGATCTTATAAGATAGGTAAATAGTGATATTGGTAGAAAATATTGATAACCATTGCAGTTATTACCAAGGCCATCACTGATTGTTTGAAAACTCAAAGGAACTTCTTAAGATTAGACAGTGAGGTTGTTTCTGCCCATCAACTGGAAACTGGATAAAGAAGATGTGGTTTTTCTATAAAATGGAATACTACTCAGCCATAAAGAATGAGAAATTAGATTCATTCATAGGTAAATGTGTACATTTTGAGGATATACTCCTAAGTGAAATAAATAAGTCACACATATGCAAATACTGAATAGTTTCTCTGGTGTGAAAAACTAAAATAGTACTCAAGATCCTAACGGTGCAATTAGCAGTGTGAAATAGGAAAAAAAGGACCAAAGGTGTAGGGACAGTGAGAAGGATAGGGAAAGGGGAATAAGGGAAAAGGAAAAAAATATGAGAAAATGTAAAAATGGAATCAAAGTGTTTGTAGGTGGGGAGGGGAGGAGGGGGTGAAGGGAGGGTGGGGACGAGGGGAAAAAAT